TATATATCATTAAAATGATGTAGATTATTATGTTAAATTCTCTAAACAATGTATTGTTATTTATTTTCGGTAAAATGTATTCAATAACTATAAAATAAAAATAGTAAACGTAAAAAATTTAAAACTTAACCGACTTTGAAGAAGGCATTCATACTATGAATACACCGTGGATATTCCACAGTTGTTTGTGGGGTTATGTGGGTTGCATTCCATCCGGAGCCAGTTTAATCATAATTATTTATTTGTTATTTGTTTAAATTATAACACATTTTGACCATTTCGACAAATAGGGATTTTTGATTTTTTTTCTTATAAAATATTATAGTGCTGTCCAACTGATTACAATCGCGTACACTGTTTGTCTACTATCACCTGTTATTACCAGCATAGTAAATAACGCAAATCACATAATATGAAGATGCAGTACAATATTATCTATATGAACGTAAAAAATCCGTAATATTTTTTAACTTACAACTACATTTCCTTTATTACCCCGTTTTTCCTCCGCTTTTTCCAATTTATTGAGAAAAACTCCCGAGAAATTAAAAAAATGACCACATTGAAGTACCTCGTCAGTCAAATTTTCTTTCAGAAAGAGTGCTTTGGGTAAATAAAATTAATAATATTCAAATATATTGCAATGGGTTTATCGTTGTGTCACACTCTATATATACGTGATCGCGCGTGAGCCACAGATAAACAGCGTGGAATTGTCCTCACAAATTCGACAAAAACAGTATACCTGTAGCTGGAGACCCTAAATTTAGCAGGTTTTTGCCGAATTACTGTCATCTGTTTATGTAATGCGTATAATCACGTATATGTGGTGGTGACACTAAACATAATAACGCGATAAAATCGTCGTGTTTTCACGTCAATTTTTATGTTATGTCATTATTAATTATGATGTTTATTATATTCAACTTATGTTTTGTCTTAGTAAAGTTTATAATACAAAAATATAACTTTATTATATTTGTTTTATATTTGAAGTAATACGTAATGAATATCATGGCGCGCAATAAGCAAGCAATAGCTGTAGATGCAGCATGTTGAATAGATCTTCCTCGTATAAAATCTAAATTAAGGGTCGTGAATTATCGTGAATTTTATTTAATTTATCCACGGACGATTCCGGGGGATTTGATTGTTGTAACGCGTTTATTTCGGAATCCGGATTAATAAGCCACCGCTAACATTAGACGGACAGATTGACATTTTGAAAACGGTTTTATTATTTGGGATGACGGGTAATACGATTTCTCGTCCGAAACTGACCCAACAAAAACATGACGCGATAAACTACCCACTCATTTGTAATAATTTACAAAACTGGTTGATTGATTTTTTTTTTTTTTTTCTTGTACACAAACTAGATAAACGAATTCTCAGCGGGACATCAGCATTTCTTGTTTTTTCTCATTATAATAATATTATTGTCGGGGAATAATCGTGATAATATAAGAGCCGAATAACAAACAAACTTTGTTCGCTTGTATCACGTACGTATATCCGAATAATCGTTTTGGTTTATCCAATATCGAGTATAATAACAGTAATAATAATAATGATAATAATAATAATAATCAAATCCAATGATACGTGTTTCGCGGCGTTTACCAATTTAATACCATCATAATATTTAGCATTCGTTTTAAAAATAATATATTATTACAAACATGAATATTTCAAGATGATATTTAAATAAATTAAGATGTTTTAATGTTATCTCGTTATACACTCGAATATTATTATGTTTTTATCACGGATGAATCTCAAGCCGCTTTTGCGATTCGCAAAACGATGCTCAGACAATTTAATATCTTTGTGTTTCTTATCCGGTAGGTACCGAATTCCGAAGAATAATTTCGTGTTTCTAAATGCAAAATATACAAAATAACAATATCCGTGTTATTATCCACGTGAGTGTAATAATCATCAACGGCACTGAACCCTATGTTTAAGACGATTCAGAACAGAACGGGGATTCCTTTATCTTCCCTTGTCCAACACATACATTTAGCATAACAATTTACACACATTTTTTTTTCATCGGTCAAATCTGATTCTGAATAATTTAATTTAATTAAGGGACCTGGCCGATATCAAATTGATACATTATCGGCCAGATTTCTTAGTTCAATTGGCTCGCTCAATTGTGTACACCATTCACATTGAATTCTTCTCACATCAGTACGTCGGACATGAACTGATGGACAAATAGATAAGAGAATCCCCATTCTGTTTGTTATCTTTCTAAAGTTTTGGTACTATCTCTTTTAAAAACTAAGGATTGGGTTGCTCCATTTTACACTAAAAATATGTATAATATTTTGTAAAATGAAATAATCAGTACAAAATGAATGTGATAAAGGATAAGATTGTTAAAATAGTTATAAACAATTTTGGTTTAATTTAAATGTTGATTTTACTGTTTAATAAAGCTATACAACATCCGAATTGTGGTTACATAATTTATGACTCATAAATTATAAAACAACTTATAAATTATGACGTATTCTGATACCGTCGAGCAGATTTCACAGTCATATTACAATATACATGAATTAAAATTATAAAAATGCCTTAATATTTCAGTTCATGCAAAGATTGATGATATTCCCCGGATATTTAATAATATGGAATAAATATTTACCAAAAGTTTAAAACGTATTTCATCATCAATAAATTTAAATATATAATTGCGATTTTAATACATGTATATATATATATTTTTCGGTATGAAAAACATTACAATGTTTGTTTCTGAAATAAAAGTTTAAAATACTATTATCTCGATTAAACCGGTTTTAACGCTTGTATGGACAAAAGTTAATATAATAATATTTTGTTTGTATATATTCGTACATCGTCGGCTTAACAATATTTGACGAACTAATCCTTCAGTCCAGTCCCTAAAATGTACGTAATTTGTTACTGCGCACACGATTTATCCTTGAACATACCCCCTTTTTCACAAACAAATATTTATAAATTAATTTAACTACAGATAAATTATAGCTACCAATATGGAATACATTTCAATATTATGTACCGATTTACTACTTGTATTTAAATAAATAATATCATGCTTTATAAATCCAGTAGGATTGTTAAATAGATGTTTATATAAGCTGGACATTGACACTTTGCACTGGGAGTAGGCCATTGTCGTGTTAGTGGACAATTTAATTTGTATACCTAATATGAATGCATCGATATGTCATTGAAATTAAAAAACGATTCTGAGTCGAAAGGTAATTTTGTATAGGCCAATGAAGTAAATGAGCTGAGGCAGTACATTGTAAATAATATTTAAGAACGCGAGCACCGCAGTTATGGGTCAATGCGGGTTTTCGATCGAAACACGTATGTTTGCATTGTTTTCGAGAGACCCGTATTATTGTATGTATTTTATTTTATTGCAATAAAGAAGTTTTGATAGCTAGTGCGAAATATCGTTTAGTTTGAGTACCCACTAAACGAGGCCTTATTTCGAGTCTGATTTGTAACAGCTTAATTTATAGTCGTTGAAGACAGATCTAATAGAGTAAAGTAGCCCTACCTACATTTTGAAAACAACTGCGTAACCGATTAATTTATGGTCGTTTGAGTTTTCAAATTAGGTAGGGGTGTACCATCGAAAGTTATACTTGTTGTGGTAATTTCATTGTAATCAAGATATCAACAAAAATAAAACTGATGAAAGCGTCATCATTTATTTTAGTCAGTTTTATAAAGAAATTATGTATAGTATCACCGAGCAAATAGGCTAATAAATAAAGTTTTCAAACTATAGTATAGCATAATATGCTACATATAATAAAATATATTATACATTGATAGGTGTATAAAAATATCGATTATGTTGGTACTACACTTTCTATAATTTACATTTACATTTCATAATTGTTACTGCACATCGTGTGTGCAACTGCTCAAAATATTTTTGGTCTTGTTAATGTTTTCAATACCGGTAATTTAGCATTCGTGGTTATATTGATATATGTGGTTTTTTTATGTTCCAGGCAAGATTGTAAATTTGAACGTATTTTCAACCTTCTTTTGCATGAGTGCAATTTTCGCAGACAAAGGTATGTACGTAAACGATTATACTTTGTATTATATTATAGGTACCTACCTAGTTTAAGTAACGGACAAAATAGATAAATAATAAATATGTACATTTCGGACTGAGTCGAAATTTGAACACGGTAACTGCGGTTTATACGGCAAGGTCGAACTTGGTCAGTCATCGTATTGATTTCCCATATACTCCCTTTACTAACCCCCGGACGCGAGTGTCCTTCCATCCTTTACCCCGCCTTAGATCACTCCCTCCCCCTTTTGATAGCAAATACATGCTCAGCAAACACAAAACGGTTCATTGAGTATATTATGGTAATAAAATACCACAGCAGTAGCGTTGTTATAATATTCTGCTCTTATAACCAGTATTACAGCTATATATAATTTTTTTGGGAAAAGTTGGATTTTTCCGACCGTATGTACGTATATATGCGTGTATGTGTGTGTATGTGTGTGTTTATAGATATAGATCTAACAAGGGCGCGTGACATTATTTTTATATTTTTTATTTCATTTTACTATTTTTTTTTTTTTTTTTACATAATACACAAGACATTTGTTTGGCAAACATACCATGTGAATTTGATGTTTGATTTTTTTTTTTTTTATAATTCGTTAGATTACGTATACCATAATATGTGTCACGAAAATATGATAATTGCGATATTTTGAAAAGTATTAACTTTTTTCAGATTTATTTTTTAAACTATTTAAGAAAAACTAGTAGCTCTGAAGTGTTTCATTGCATTGAAATTATCATTTGTTACCTTCAGTTTCGGTGGTATTTTATGACTTACTTTTGATTTTTAAACGGTAAGGTATATGGAAAATTCTATAAGTAGAATTCATTGTGGTGTATGCAATTTTTGATTTCCATCAATTTGCTGTCAAGATATTCCACTTTTATTTTTGGCTAGTAGGAGAATACCGAAGAATTATTTGTGTGACAGTACAACGCGCACGATTTGAATAATGTTCCATGATGGGCATGCGGAATAAAGATAGGATTTCGAATATACTGCAAAAATAAAATATCTAATCATTTCAAGATTCTAAAACGACTAAAAAAAAAAATACTTATATCCGTTGATAATAGCTGGTTTAATCAATAAATGATTCATCCTATACACTCATGATGTTATCGAATACTGAATCATCATTCATTTTCAAATGAAATAGAGCCCGATATTTTAAAATGTAGTGATACGTGTGGCGTAAAAATTTACTTTCGAATAAAATAAGTCGTATTATATACCTATACATCGCATATCTCTACGTTTTATTATTATGTAGGTACAAATGAGAATGGCCTAGAATTCCGTCAAAATCGTTGTTTTCTTCCGAAAAGTTTCCTTGTCTCGGGAAATACGTGATAATAATTATTTCTGTTGAATATACTATACAGGTAAGTAACAGGTGGAAAGTTTTTTAAGCATTTCACGCCGAGTGGACATATGTGCACAAAAATGACATAACTAATTACGATGAATAAATCTATACATAGGAAGAAAATTACGATGCTACATACATATAGGATGCGTATAACAGGAAATTTTTTATTGGATTTTAACTGCGTATCCATAACACAACTTTTAAATATATCGCTCCAAGTAGATAGACTAAACTTTTAGCTTAACTTTTGAGTTGTTACTATGTAACAACCGATTTATTACATATTTGTTTACATATACTTATTCAATCATTTAGCGTGTACTTTCTAGTGGATACATATCCTAATGGGTTTCCTATCACCTTTAGTGAGTGTCAATTTAGATAAAGAAAACTTCTTAAAAAATTCTGTAGAGAATAACATAATATTCCTACATGATTGAATATTATTTAATTTTAATCGGTACCTATAACCCACAATTTAAATGTAAAAATCAAAAAACGTATATTTTTGAACTGCTGATCAGTCAATGTTCCGACTATATAAAAAATACCAATATTAGTGATAATTATAACTGTTATAAAGGCCGTAGCTGAAAACAAATATCGGTGTCCAAAATGTTTTAAATATAATATATTTAAGGTAGAAAAGAAATTTAATGCATTTCTGTAAGCAACGGTTAGTCATTACTAACGAAAAACAATTTTGAGCGTAGTTCGGTTATGCATCTTTGAAAGGCCGAAATATTTACGATTTAAAAATAATTCATTTTTCCTTCGTTTTTTCACAATCTCTGGGTATTTCACCTTCCAATTTATATTCTAAAACAGTGAAACATCGATCAAAAGTATTAGCATTTTTTTTATTTATTTATTTATTTTTTTCATTGAAAGTACTTTTTCGGTCATTTAAAATTCTCCAGTTTGTTCAGTAAGTGCCTTAGAAATGCATAATTTCCATTAATTACAATACATATTAAATATTTTGAAATTATTAAATGTTCACACAGATTATTTTAGATTCTAACGCTTAGCGAGGAATGTATTTGTTTTACTACGAATTTATTATCTCCAAATAATCTCCTTGTATCACGTATTGTTACTAGAGGTAGGTTGATATATCAACCGATACTATAAAACAAATCAAAATAACAATAAATTATTATATCAATATCATTGAATATGGATAAAAATAAACAATAATCAGTACCAATTAAATGTAAGTAATATCGATTTATTAAATATAAATTTAGTTTTAATATTAGTTCATTATTTTTGCCAGTTTTAAATTTGTTTACAGAATATATTATCTTTTATCGATTTTATATTGGTAGCGTTATAACGCAGTGGTTAATTAACCCCTAAGGATAAAACGCGATCCTTTTGAGAGGCAAAGACTACCTAACCTAATTCATTTTTTTATTTTATTTTATGCACTTTATACCTATTATTATAAAATTCTGCATCAGTCATGTATGTAAAACGATCGTAATAGTTTTTTTTTTTTTTTACTTTTTTTGGGGGGGGGAGTTGACAGTTTTTTGTTAATATCTAATCTGATTTATGGGTAATTGTCTCAAAAAGTTTGGGAACCGTCGTTACAAAGAAATATCGGGTAACGGTAAAAATTAGTATCGGCCACATCTTTAATTATTATTATTATGATAACAGAAAGTACAATTTAATTTACACTATACAATATAAAACACATACTTATATTATCCGTAGACCACCGTACGGACTTGAATCGATAATTTCCGGATTAATGTTCGCCAACGCGTATGTATGCGACAAAATTCGCATATTATATTATTAATTTATGAGCCGTTTTAGTAATGGCACGCGTCATTCGGACGGTCCCCCTCAGCCTGGCCGCATCAATAGAAAACACGCGTTTAATCGGTTAAACCGCGGCCATCGACAATAATATTTAATAATATATAAATATTTCGTGTGAGGTTTACCGCAAAACCAGGGCGAACCCGTGTTTTAAATGACATCGGTTGTGAAGTTCGGGCGGTTTGAAATATATGTATTTTACTGCATACGCACGAAAACGAAAACGCACCGCCAAAGCAAAAGTAAAAGCAAAATCATTTAGGTATGTTCCAGTTGTCTTCAGAAAAAAACCCAATTTAAATGTAATCGAACTATTTAAATGCATAAAAGAGAAAATCAAAATAAAAGTTTATAATTAGGTACCTAAATGGTATTTATATATTTTACGTAATATATAAATACCTATTATATGAATTTGAAAAATTTAAATCATAAACAAAAAAAAAAATGGGATCGCCAGAAACGTTTACTGAAAATGATTAAAACGACTTAGAATTTCTAAAAAATGCAAAAAAAAAAGTAGCTTTGAAGAGAACTTCTGTAATTATCAAAGATGATATTATGAATCGTGATTTCAAAAAAAAAAATAAAATAAATAAAATTTATTCTATTCGAAAATGATTTACGTTTTATTATATTTTTTAATGCCGTACATTTTAGATTTTACGTTTAGAATCTAAAATGCAGGAATGTATTCATTTTACTATGTCATGTTTTTTTTGTTTCTATTGTGTTATGTCTGTGAACAACTTTTCCACTAGATATCTTACATTGATTTTCAAAACATGTTTAAATAAAAACTTTTTTTAAAATCGTATTTCATTACCAATGATTAATTATCGTTGCATAGAAACAGGCCCGTACTGGCTACTCTTATGAAGTTATGTAACTCTTATGCAGTTTCCACTTAAAATGGCGTCTTAAACAGTAGCGTAATAATTACAGTGTATTTTTGGCGGTATTTAATATATTTTTTTTTTATTTATATAAAAATCTAAGTTCATGAAATCAACTTTTAAATGGAATTTTTTTTCGATTTAAAACGCTTGGTTTTTTTTTCACACTATTTGCTCAAAACATGAAATTATCAATGTATTACAACTGTAGTAGTTATATGAATCGAATATTTTATATACATGTATAAATAATTTTACGTGAATACCAGGAAAAAATTACTACATAATATCCCAGTCCTAATTACTAAGTATTGTTTGTTACGGAGAATTCGAAACGCGTAATGTGAGACCGAACGGATCGATCGGATATTAAGTCTGTTTTTTTTTTTATGGCGTTCCCGATTTGTAGTGAACGGAAACTCGGTATATTCGGGAGATTTTCCGATATTATCTCGCGGATGGTCGTTTGCGTTTTCTTCGGAAACGTATTTATTTTTTAACAGTTTTTTTTTTCCATTGGTATCATTGGCAATAATCTTCGGTCCACCACGTCCCCTCTGCCTATAGTTAATCCTTGGATTACCACCGCCACTGCCGAACTATGTAAGACTTTATGTCTCCAAACCGTAGTGTTTGTACCCATGCAAACACTTTTGCGGTTTGTAGCGAAACGTGATTTTTAAGAAAGCCGTATGATTGGCTGAACGGAAGCATGTATGCAATGATCGATGAATGATTTATCTAGAAATCAACCACCCTCCTTCGCAAAAATTGTTATCATATTTCGCTGAGAGATTCGTCCGATTAGATCGACCTACTGAGGTTGCATGATAATGATAAGAAAAATCCGCCGTTAAATTGCTTAGTCCGTGATATTTTTCTTTTGCTCTATAATGTTCACCAATGGTGGCCATGGTTTTGTGTGCGTTGTTATTTTGCTGTGCTGACATGCATGCATATTTAGCCATAGATTAGATATATAGATTGGATTAGATACTTCGATTTTATTGGATAATTATAGTAATAATATTACAGAATAGTATTATTTGGGGCTATCGCATGGGACAGTGTTAATATTGTACCTACTGACCGCGCAGTCAATCAAACGTCCGCGAAGTTGCATGTAAACGGTTTAAAACCGAATGTTTTTTTTTTTTTTCGAGAAACACGCGACCACTTATACTGTCAATAACTATACTCTAACGTATACCTGCTGGCATATTATAAATAAATAATACATATTGTGTGTGGAGTAGAAATGATAATAATAATAATAATAATATAATATTATAGTGTGTTAGATATAATGTAGATAGGTACCTAAAAAAAAATAGTTTGGAATGATGATTTTTTTTCAGGTAAATTGAAGGTACCATAATACACGCTTTGAGTATATTTTTAGAGTAGTTTTTTTAAATATTTGCAGTGCACCATTTTTTTTTTTAAACAACTGTGGCTAACGCGCATTTTTTTCTAACTTAAAAAATACCTAAGATACATAGCTATCCATTGTTTAGAAAATATGAGTTTTATCTAGATTTTACAAGCATTTTAACACGTATGTAAGATGTGTTTATACGATATTATGCATAATTTTACAATTATATTTATACTTGAAATTGTATTGCCCATAAAACAGTAGTGACGTTTCTTCACTTTTAAAGTAGTAAGGTTTAAATATTTTGAAATACCCAAAAATATCACTAGAAATATCAATAAAAAAAAAACATATTTTGAATAATCTATAGATACTCAACTTTCAGATGAATTTTTAGTCACGAAAATTTTAAAAGCAAAAAAGTTGGTGTTAAATATAGGCGTTAGCGTTTAAGAAAGTTATATGTTCCATTTCGCACGGATTAAAATTATGTTTTATTATAAATATCTACTTTGAAACCTCTCTCGATCTTCTTAAAAAACCCAATCTCATTTCATTGGGGTTGGAGGGGGGATTCTGGAAAAAAGTATTTCCAATACTCCAAGGTTTTTTTCGATATTAAAACTACATCCAAAATGCGTGAAATTAAAATGTGAAAATGTGGTGCTACCGTTGTAAATTCATACCAATGGGGAAGACATTTTTGCTTTAATCGCTGATATGTGAAAGGAGATTCTGGTTAAATGTATAGTACACATAAGTCCATCCAGTTAAAATATTTAGTTGAATATTCAATAGTGGAACCGTTTGAGCGAAACACACTGTATAACAAAATTATACTAAAAATTATAATATATTATGTTGTCAACTATTTTCGCGTTGTTAATATTATTTCGGTCGAACTCATGTTGAGTTTTTGTACATTTATTTCTTTTTTTTTTTTTTTACATAAATAAATAAAAGTAGTAAATAATCATTTTAACGTAACGGGTACCGCGAAATCGAGTGTTCATGTACGGACGAACGGAGTAAGAGGAGAGGAAACCACGACGTGGAAAAAAGTAGAAATTAAAAACCGAAAAAAAATATAAAACTTTTTTTTTTTATTTTGGCCGAATAAATCAAGCTATAATACATTTTATAATAATAATATTACAATAATGAAGAATAAATTTGACTTTTTTTTTTTTTTTTCAAAACGATATGACTACGTCGTTATACGCAGTTTTTAAATGTATTTTCTCTTTACGGTGAATAATAATAATCATATACGGTTGTTTTTTTTTTTCATTTTCGACGGGTAAACGATAAAAAAAAAACCCCCTAAACACAAAACATGATTTCAGCCTAAGATTATTTTATTCGAAAACACAAAAATATAATAATAATAGGCCGTTAAGTGTAATATTATATAAATGAAATGTAGTATCGTTTTATTTACTTACACTTTTTGTTTTTGACTGAAACGCTTTTATTTTATAATTTTTCAAGTTCCGAGTTTACGGCCAAATGTTTTATTGAGGGTACTGCAGCGTGTATCATTCGAATGGTAATACAACATAATATTTCAGCCAGACGGATTCAGATTGAAATATAGTTTTTTTTTTTTTTCTTAAGGAGACCGGGAGTACAAAAGTACATGTTACAAGCCTATAAAACAACAATCCCCAAACAAAAACAAAACGAACAAATTTGACAAATTAACAAAATAAAATAAAAAATAATAAATTTGTTGTGGAAAAGTAGGTATACCTAACCATATGTCATCATATTTTGCTTGCGCCGTAGCTCTCGCAGGGATTAAATATTTTTAAAATAGGCCCACAATGCATATTTTTGTAAGCACCGAAAAAAAAAACTATTTCAATATAACTCCAACCTGCTGAAATATGTATTAATTCCATTCAAGTGAAACGCACTCTATACATTATTAATCCCATTCCCATTTTTGGAGAGTATAAATGCTCCAATGAACGATTCACATAATAATGACAAACCGATTCGAAGATACGGACTTTTCACAATTTATTCAACATATTTTTTTTTTTTTTTTAGGTAATCAAATTGTTTTTTACAACAAAGTAATTTTTGAACAAATAGAATCATGTTATTTCAAAGAGCGAGAAATTAATAGTGAAATTCGATTTAAAAAATTACATAGGTACCCATAAAGATATAATATATTATTCTACAAGTATATAAGTTATATTAAAAAGTACATTTTCGGTAAAAAGTTTTCCTAACAAACCCTTATTTATTTATATTTCGTAATAATAATTTATTTAAATTAATAAACACTCTAATTTTAAACTTTGTCTGAACAAACTGTATAATATTATACTGCAGCAGTAGTACGCGAGCAAACTATTTTAACTTTAATGTTAAAAGTTGAAATATTTAATACACTTAAAATAATTAATAAAATTGTACTACCATTGCGATATAAAAATTAAACTTTTTTCCCTCTAACCACTAGATTATATCTACTCCGGTTTTTATAGAATTTTTTTCCGCGATTATTATCATTCAATGAGAATTTGTCATCAATTCGTTAATCAATATTGTCTCATAATATTTTTGTACGGTATAATGTTTACCGAAATGCATTTATTATTTTAGTATTTTCGTATTACTATATAAACACCTACAGTAACATAGTTATTCTCATTATTTATCACAAATGTAATTTTTCAAAACATTAAAACCAACTTTTCCGTTCAGAATATAAATATAAATATATATATAATATAGGTTGATCCATTTAAGTAGTTTTAGTAAAAAAGTGAAATATCATTTGTGTGGTGGCATGATACGCGGCGGCGTTTCAATAGTGCCCCCCATACCCAAACTTAAAAGTGAAATATCTCTTTGAGAGTCTGAAGTAAATCAAAAATGTTGACTCCAAAATTAATTTAATCTAATACCCTTTTTATTTATGAAATTTTAAATTAAAACTGGTTAGCTGTTTCACGCTCGAAAATTAAAGGGACATATAATAATGTTATTGTAACATTTTAGAGCAATGTATTTCTTAAGTTAACAAAAAAAAAAAAAAAAAAAAAACATTTTTCAAAATAACGAGTGAACACTTAAATGGATCACCCTGTAGTATATTGATCGGTGTCAGAAAAATATATATATTTACAAAATTAATGTTTTAAAATATTTCAAATTGTTGTTAACAATAACTGAACTTCGGTTACTATTATTAATAGAATATTATGTTCGTTCCTCCATTGCATACACCATCACCTTCACCACCTTCTTATGAAATTTTAAAAATATTGTCGTCACCACTTTCAAGTTCACGAGCCGTAATTACCAAAACAAAATGTAAAAATGTAAAATGTATAATGTAAAATCCGAGATTGCAAACCAATACAATACTGTCATCAAGACAATTCTTTGCCATTTGAACGTAAAAAAAAGAGCCGAATAATAAAAGATAGAAAATTTTATACGTTTTAATATTATTACCGCGCAAATATTAAAATTGTAAGTACGTGGCATCGTATTGGGTTTTTTTTTTTTTTACGTTTATTTAATTATTTATTTTGTCAATGTCTCTTGGAACATAACACATCATTTTTAAAAATGTTCGATTTTTTCAAAATCTATTTGGATTTAATAATTTAAATAATTTGAAACACGAAGCAAACACACATAAAGTCTGTAAAGAATCACTTATCTGAACGAAATAAAAAAATAAAAGGAAAAGTACCTAAATTCAGCTGAGAGATATTTTTAAATCGCATATTTTGAGTGCACTCTCAAAAATATTGTCATCTCCATTTTACTTGATTAGGGTGAGAAAAAAAAAGAATCGACGAGAAGAGGTGTGAAAACCATTAAAATGCGTCTCAGCGTCGTTAGTGGGTTTTGAAAGTAATCGTAAAAAACCGTTTAAATTCTTCGAACAACGTCCGGTATATTTAAACACGGTGGTATTTTAAGCACGCTGCCCTGCTTTTACACTCAAACAATGGATTTATTCTGTTGTTTTTTTTTTTCGAAAATGTACATTATGTATTTATACATACAAATATTATATTGTCCAATATATACTTGTTTACATCACTTAAATAGGGCATGTGTTGTATTGGGCAAGGCAATATAAATTTTATAGTTTTTTTTTTTTTTTTACATACACTAATAAATATATATTTTGTATAGTTATTAAAATATTGTCCACGTATGTCGTTTATACAACAACATTTTATTACTACCGTTATAGCGCTGAAATGGCATAAAAAAAAAAAAAAATCTAAATCACTAAATATTGGAAAATGTATTATTATTACAGTCCTTAATGAAAAATGAATCCAATTTTTGTAAAAGAATAAAACACGGAAAGCCAACGTGCTTAAAAAAATCTCCATGTAATATGCGGTGATGTTATTTTATTAGAAAAGTTAAGACACGTAATTGCATGTACAATTTTGTAGGAATTTGACAACCTAGTATATAATACATATCCGTGGCGTGTTTGAGGAGAGCGATGGGCGGATTTCACCCCCCCCCCCTTCCTCTTTGAATTGTTTGACTGTGAATTTTTAATCACGCCTACAGGCTATAGACAATTAAATAATATAGTATTTATAACATTGTTATTTATTATTCCTTGGGTATTTTTATCAGCGCCACCAAAAAGTTGTGATAATGATATAACCAAGGCAATTGTTTTTCTATAATTTGGATGTCCTATTAAAGCAGTCATCATGAATTGAATTAAAGGAGAAAAATAGATTAATATTGATTTTAAAATTGTTTTAAATATTTGTGTGCATAGTTGTTCGGATATGAATATATAATGTGTACATAATTTGTATATTATGTTATGGCCGTACGCAGAAATCATGTATATCTCAGAAATGCCCGGGCGAAATTTGTTCATTTTGTATGTTATTAATTAAAGTTTATACTTATAAACTATTTTAAATTGAATAGTAATTAAATAATTAAAAATTTTAAATTATTAAATTTCGATGAGAGGAATCATAAAAAAAAAAGATGCCAATGTTGCTTCTTTGGAATGAGGAAACCCCTCGCGATATATTGTGGCTTAATACAGTTTTTAAACCGTCTAACCTCCTTGATTGAGCTCCGAATACGCCACAGATGCATATATGTAGAAACCTAAAGAAATTAAATAATCTTAATTTGCATAAAGATGACAGACCTTTTTTAAAATTCGTACAGTACTTGTATTTTGGTACCTAGTTTTAGATTCTGAACAGAGCGAGGAATTTATTGATTTTATAGTGATGTTTAATTTCTCTGTAAACAACTTTTCTACCAGAAATTCTCCTTTGATTTCAAGTGTGGCGCTTTTTTGAAATTTAACTGAGGTGTTATTTTAAGGAGTTTATTTTTTGATTTTCACGGTAAACGGTAAAATGTACGAAATTTATTATTTTCAAATCGTAAATATAAGGGCTTTTCAAAACGTGTTTAACTGACTTCTACTCAGAATTGTTTTTCGTTTGTAATGATTAATCCTTGTGTATAGATAAACATTCAATTTCGCCTCTATAACTTTTCAACTTCTCACCTACAACAGTGGCCCACCTTCTGGTCATTATATGAACCCATGGACCCAACGGGGATATAAGGTGTTATAACTTGATAATATTATGATAGATTGAATGAGACCGTGTGAATCGGAAAATTAATCGTCTCTCTCTTTCTCTCACTCACTCACCCCGTACATTATGGTGCGTGTTACGCATTAATGGCAAAAGACGACATAACCTAACCTAAACTATATTATAACCTAACGTGCTGTGCGGTAACCGCACCACTGGTAACCGCTGCACGTGACAAACTCGTTACCGGGCGGAGATCGAAGGCTGCAGCTAGCGAGAGACGAACTTGGCGGCGCTCTCCCATGTGTCGGACGGTTAATCGAATTATATACAGCGCCGGAGTACGGCGAGCCGGGTTCCGGCGGATGTGGCGGGCGGACGGCCGCGGTAGACGCGTTTCGCAAGGGGCCGAGGAACGTGGCAGATTTTAGAGCGATCACGGTACAAGGGGTGAGCTGCTGCCGACGGTGAAGAGGACGGTACGGTGTGAGAATTCACGCAGATGTCGGGAAATAAACTCGGATCTCGGGAAAATTTCCGGACCGGGCTGGAGAGAGCGACTAACCCGACTTCCCGCAGCCCGTTGTTTTTTTTTTTGCTCTCTCGTGTCTCGCAAACACGCAACAATTATCACCTCGTTCCGAGTACGGCGCCTAATTACGTGCCCTTCACACCCACCATCGGCGTCGTATCCTCCGACCGGAACTCCGGTCGTCCACTCCCCGTACTTTCCCCGTCCTTCCCCCGTCCGGCTGAAAGAATCCGACTACTGTTTCGAAAACGACCAACCTGAAGCGGACACTCTATAATATTCAAACGGTAGTTGTTATTTTCACGTCCTGCCATCTGATCAGTCGAATTAGCAATAAGCAGAAATAATGATAAACTATTGAATAGCAAGTTCAATTGAATTAGTTATTTTAAAATAGGTAATTTTAAATTTTTTTAAAATAAAGCTGTAATTAGAGTTACAACAAAACATAATTGATACAGTAAGATTGGTTTCTTTTTAAAAAAAAGTTGAGAATTAAATATTGTGTAAAATATTAAACGTAATAAATTATATTATATAACTCTAGGGGAAATACAATTTTTTTTTTAAAAACTGCTATCCAGCATATTTCAAAGCGTTGAAAAACAACATACTACTAGAATTTATTGTTTGTAATCAGAAGATGCTTCAAAAAAATTCCTTCTCATTTTTTTTTCCCCCCATAATAATAAATAGAAATATTAATTAAAAATAGCGGTTTCCTAATAGCTTAGTTAAACGGTAGTTTAATTTATTTAGGAAAATTTAAATTTTTGGGGAATATTGTACGTGTATTGGTCTTTTATTCTATTTATACCCCAAAAATCACTACTACTTATGTATCGAGGAGATATCGCATGATAACAATAATAATATTATATTATTTATACTGTTTTGTATACAGTATCGTACTTATATTACATTGTATTCCTCGACAATCGATATCGCGTGCCACACTACCTATGTGTAGGTACAAAGAATAGATAGACGCTTTATATTGTATGACGGGGTGTACGTATAGGTACCTTTTGTAAGCCGGTCTCATTTTCATAAGATGCGCGTACTTAAGCTTTTCGAATACCTTCCCCTCACTAACCCCCTCAAACGGCACCTCCACTGTGAAAGACGACCGAATATCCTCGAATCGAGCCAAACAAAATAAAATATATATTGTTAACAAGCAGGCGGTGGCGTTTATTATTATAATAATATATCGTAAAAACGCACAAAACCCCCGTCAGCGGGATAAAAGAAAACCCGAAATTGAATGCACCTAACCTTCTATATAGCCTAAATAATAATTTCGCACAGATTTTTCACGTACACTATTATGACGAAAGGAAAAAAAAATGAGAAATTGTGATATTTGTCTGGACAACGAAAAACAATTTTTGTCACACCCTTAACAAAATAAAAAGAGACAATTTTGAAAATAAAATTTTGGACACTTGGACAGATAAGATAAATAATATATATGTATATTATATAATTTAGTTTATATCTATACTACGCATATATAATCATCATTGTAAACGAAAAAGGAGTTCGGTTGAACATTTGTTTGTAATTTTGATAAAAAAAAAGTAATTTAAAAATTGCATTATTTATTTTGTAACGACAATATAAATAAAATTACGATAATTCATGTTTTAAAATAACTTTAAACTACAAACACTGTTAAAAATAAATTACAACAATTTTAATCACACATACACGACAATTTTAAATAATGATTAATAATTCAAAAACTTCAATATATTTATTGTACCAATAATCAAACATTAACTACATTTATAAAATGCTATTAAAAGTAATGGGTGAAAGTTTTAGGTCTTTACAGTTATTTCCTACTAAAATACAAAAAAAAAAAAACAAAAGCATAATCATAATTAACAGAAATTATTATCGGGTAAATTCGTACACGTTCCTTTTTTTTTTGTCCCACTTATAAAGAAAAATCAAAAGGTTGCATCCTCAATGCACTAACAAGTCAACAATTTTTAAAAGAAAGTTCCTGTAAAGTATTTGATTGGAGCAAAATGTCTTGTCGAAAAATTGTTTACAGGCACAAAAAAAAAAGCCCAAATCAGAGTAAATCCTATACATTATTCTCTTCGCTCGAAATCTGAATAAAAAAGGTCTGGATATTTTGTCAAAATCACGTAAAGTTTTTATGATATTTTTGTCATTATAAAAACTCGTTCGATTTTAAGACAATAAAATGTACTTATTTTGTAAATTTTCTCGCATTTTTTTTTTAATAGGAAACACAAAGTTTAGTACACAAAATTCTTTACTAATATTAACCGATATTCAATATTTCGTTTGTTCCTCGTACGTGTAAAATCATATAACAACATTTTGTAGTTCAAACGAACATTTAATTTTCTATTTATAAAACAAACTAAAGACGGGCATATCGGGGGCACTGAAAAGAGGGTTTTCAAACTCTGAAACCCACACACAATAAGCGGCGGAATACATTTTAACTTTTAAATTGTAAAATTATAGACTTATTATTATGTATGCGGAGTTCGTTTGAAAGCATTGAAAAAAAATAATAATGATAAAAAGTAAAATAAAATAAAAATCTTATTCCTATTCAACAAAACTATATATATTTTGAAGTTACATTGCGATGACGGTGGCTGTATAATATATGAAAGTCTCAGTAGTACCAGAACGTGGGAGGATCAATATTTTACTGTAAGAACACATGTATAAACATTTTTTTTTTCTTTTAAGTACATAATATAATAATTTATTATTGCTATATAATTTATTTCGAGCATAAATATCATTATTGTATAATAGATCTACTTATCTAAGCTTTGTAACTCTAATTTGTTTTGTATAGGCCATCTTCTAGAAGTCTTGACTTATTCAATACACATTTATGAACTGCTAACATTGCCAGTCGATCCGAACAATATTGTACTTATTGTTCAAATTATTGTAACGTTATGATTTAAGATTGTTGAGGGAAGATAACAGTAATCATTTAACTACCATAAATTACAAAAGAAATCAAAATTGAAAATTACGGGGTAATTGGACATCTAGACATCCCATCGTCCGTTTCTCGTGATTATGCAAGTCAGAGTTTAGACGTCGATAATTTTGACATGTATTATAAACAAGGCAAAGAATTACGAGCATTTCCGTATTTGTTTAACGTAATAAATAATATAAAAAAATTATTTTTAATAAAAAGACAAAAATTGAAGTATTCTTTCTTAGGAACAAAGAAATAATAATTGCGTACAATTCGAAAACCGTTGCGAGAGTAAATTATATAATATGATCAGCCGTTTAAATATGTTATCTTCATTATCGTTTATTAATAAATAGCTCGTTGAGTACGTAAATACATTATAATTAGGAACACAGAACTTTTTACCGTTATAATGATTTATTTACAAACGTATAGTCAAGAATATTATGAAAAAAAAAAAAAAAAAGGGTTACACACAAATCCTTTTTACATATTAACAAAAACCCAGTATCCGGGTACCTATTTAATTTTGTTCAACATACATTTGCTTTCTCATTTTTTTTTTTTTTTTTTTTTTTCATTAAACCTTATATTGGTAACGTATATTATTTTTATAATGTATAAACTATATAGGTATTATACAAATTCACCGAGCATAATACAATTATAATTACCTATCTTGAATTTCTATACTTGTCAAATTTCAAAATTGTATAAAATGTATACATTCTGAAACATTATCAAAAAAAAAACTAAATAATTCTAAACAGCCTTATGTATGCTTAAAACGCTAGAATTTTTTAAAAATAGTACCATGCCTAAAAAATGCTGTTAATATTAATATTAGATGGTAATAGGTTAAGTTATTTTTGATTTCGCTATAATACACTCAGAATTCTCACCTATATAAGCTTTTTCTAGGCGTATTAAAGGTTGCAAAATATTCATGTTATTATTGAGCTAATTATAAAAATTGGAATTTGTTTAGTTTTTCAGTTTTTATGTGGGTAAAATTATTTTGTACATGCAGAAATGTTTGAGATATTTAATAGAATTCAATATAAATCGTAATAAGTGGTAAAAATAAAACTAAATGTGTAATTTAACAGACATTTTTATAAGGTTTTTTTTATACTCAAATTGTGAAAATGTGTTTTGTTAGAAATGATTTATCGATGCGTATAGATATAAATTTTTAATACTATGTACGATACGTTCCCAACTTACCTCTTACAACAATGGTACACCCATCGACATTGTCGGCTTTTTTTTTTTTTTGTTTGTCGTAGACTTTATATAAATAAAATTGATTTTTCAATCACTCGGTTTTATATTCCATTAAATTTTAATTATTATTTATTTTTTAACATAATTATATTTAATGGATATTTTTTACGTTTTCGTTGAGATAAAATACTAAGTAAAAATTATACCTTTGATCCCAGGAAATGGGTTTAATTCAATTTTTTAATAACATAAAAATTTACGAAATACATATACTTGTAACTCGACTAATACACTAATACGTCCTACATACATTTATTTTTAATAAACGTACATTTTTTAAATATAGGCCAAATTAGGCAAAGTTAAAAAAATAAAATAAAATCGTTAAGTATTTCCTTAAGTCCTTCTTTTCTTGGGCCAAAAATATTTTGAATTAATGCATTTGAAAGAAAAATCATTTACTATACTGCATTAGTATAAAAAACAAAATTACTTATCATAAATATTTTTTTTTTTTTTTTATTCGATTTAGACAGAAATTATATTGAAAGCCCTATTATTATATGAACGGTAAATTTAACAATAATAAAAAAAATCTTTACAATGATTTCGATTAAATTTGTGCGTTTTCTTTCTTTATACGTTATGTGTAAGACCCATTTACCACCGTTTTTAACTTTTTTCTTTTCGCGATACGTCTAGCTACGTATGTACTACACGTATGTATTTACGTGATAAATTATTATAAAATATAAACTGTACCTAATCGATTTATACACGTTTATAATATATATTTTTAATTTCGTCTTGAGTAAAAGAACTATCAATTATTTTATTATATAGTACACTCGGTTCGAATACAAGAGATTATTCTTTATTTTTTTATGTAACCATTTTCTCAAGGAAATTTCAGTGTAAAAATTCTAAAATTGACTGTAATAATTATTATAATTTAAAGTACAATTATAATGGTAAAACGAAAATTGCGGAAAAGTTCAAGTGGATGGAGTGGACCTATTCCTAGTTATTAGTTCCCATCTTATTGTGAAATATATACGTTTGTTTTTTTTTATGAAAGTAGTGTTGGTGCTAAGTAAACTTACCTGACTGCACAATATAAAAGAACATTTGGTACCGGATTTTCTATAACGGTAAAACGTTATATACATATAACCTAAGCTAACCCAAGGAAATTTCCTAAACCGAACCCAGCTATAATTTTGAGCGATTCAATCCATAAAGTTTATATATTTATGCTTGAATATTAAATTTCGAACCGTATTTTATAGGAATGGTTTGTGGAGTAAATATACTAAAGTCAAATAAAATTTGGTTTATGTGTGTGTATCTGTGTGTGAGTGTGTGTGTGTTTCGGGTTGACCGCAAACATTTAATTAATTCATTAACCCCGCCGTGTCCATGAGTAATGGCTAACTAACTGACTGTACGGTAGGTATATTCGATTAAAACTTCACGGAAATCGATTGTACTGTCGGACGTTCGCGAATAAAATACGATAAAATAAAAAAAAAAAGCTTGAACAAACTTAAGTTACATAGCCAATAGGGCAAAATCCGGTATTTTATCGTATTGTTTACACTGTATTCCGCGAGTTTCGTATTCTCGGGCTTAGTGTTCGAACGTTCACTTGTTGTCTTACTAATAAATTTGTAAAATTCGAAATCTCTCTAAACCTACAATTTTATAAAGTTATGTAAGCTAAAAAAAATGTGTTCGGAAAAAAAACAAATGTTGACAAAGTAAAATGAAATTTTTAAATAATAAATAATAAAACGAATAATATTTGTTTACAGAAACTGCCGATTTCACACTTTTCACGTAATAAGAAAAATTCATTTTTTCAAAATTTTTCCGTGTATGAACCAATATTTAGTTATATTTCAAATGAAAAAAATTCTACAATTAATTCAGATGGGTCTAATCAGGTGGAAGATAGCCGTTCGTATACAATACCAGTAGTTCAATTTTTAACATTTTGTATTTCACTATAGAAAACAAAACTTTTTTGATTATTTAATAATACTTCATCACACTTCTATATATCTTCTAATATCTAATTTAAATATATGTCATTTAGTATAATTATTTGATGTTTTTAATAAAATGGACATTGGATGTAGGAAACATCGCCACTGATTGGTTTGTTGATGGACCGATGTTCCTCCAAAAATGTTACTGTTGACCGACCCATTATCGACAGTATCATCGCCAGACATATTATTAAGGGGAGTTTTCAAATTACAATCTTAAAACTGAAAGGGGGGATGGATTATTGGATCATTGAAGAAACAAATCGATTCATTAGCGTTGAATCAGTACAATATGACGGTGATAGGGTAAATTGTCGATAAAACAGAAAACGTGGCACTACTAAAGCCACTGCGAGATAGGTATTTACTATATTTTGATACCTCATACAACACTTATTTATACATTAACTCAGTATAAAAAACAAGCAAATTGTGCGTATACTTTTTACAATATTATTAGTTGTATATTAAACAATGTATTCTGATTTAGCGATTAAGGTTTTAGATGTTGAGGTAATAAAAATAGTATGATAAAGTACTTTTCAAAATAAGTAATATCTAAAAATCGAGAATTGTCGACCAATTTCATTCATATTAGATATTAAAAAGATTACAAAAAAATAATAAATCTAGCAACCAGGATTATCTTGAATCGAATAATCTACTATTCCCACACAATATGGGTGTACGCCAAAATGAGGCGCCGACATGCAGAAAAGAGCTGAATAGACGAAACGATTTATAATGCACTAAAAAGTAGCAAAAATACTCTTTAATATATGTGGAAATAATCAAAACTTTTGGCTTAGTAGCTCATAAGATAACACTATCAAAACTGGAAAAAATTATAATTTAAAATTCGGCTATTATAGCTTTGTTTAATCATAAGATTTATCACGCAGATTGCTATTTGTAAATATTAATGGGGTTTTGAGTTTAGGTGTTCACCTAAATTCAAATGTATTCCATGCGCAGTACTACAGGTTACTGCTGCATTATCCTCCCCACATTAATTCGCTAACCCTAAATGTAAAACTAATTTATCTTAGCAACAAAATGGTTTTAATTATGACTGATAGCACTTGGGAAGAAGTCTTTCAGAATAACAAATCTAATATTAAATCTATTCACATGTAGTTACCCTAACCCTAACACATGTACCTGTAATAATATATTCAAAATTAACTCGTTTATCAAATATTTAGGTATAGAAATGTGCAGTCATTTTAAAGGATTAGTTTACCTATATATGAATTTTTAGTTACACAATAAAATATGCAGTTTTATACAACCACTTATATCACATGTTTAAACAATTAAGATATATTTTAAACAATATAGGTACACAGCTCCGTTAGAATCGTAAATTTCATACGGCATTATTGTATGGGAAATCTAAATCAACTGCGATCTCTCAAAATAATGTTTTGAGATCAATTTTAACGATTACAACAACAAGAACCAGTATGAAGAATTCAATGTATTATCAGTCAAGAAACTATTTTATTATGTATTTATGTAATTTGCTGTACAAAGAGGAACGTGGAAAGAAATTTTGTAGCAAGTAGGTCGTGTAGTAATTTTAAAATTAACAAGTAAAAGAAGAGAGGAAAAATCAATGACCGAAAAGTTAAATTTCATTAGGAAGGAAATATTGTAAGAGTAACAACGGGCTGCTAAAGAAGATAATTTGAGTTTGGTTAGTACAGGAGATTAATCGTGAGGTGGGCAGGATGTATTCAAAGCATAACTGGTATAATTTAGAATTTTCTTTAGATTCCTTTAAGGTGTTGACACAAATCAGCACAGAAAGGATCCCAAACTACCAAACCGTACTCAAGAAACGGTCTGACGAGGGCACAATTCACATTTAATTGAACCGGTAAACTTAAATTCACTTGAAACTCTCGTAATACATCTTAGTAGTTCATACGCTTTGCGAGTAACGCTATTGATGTATGAAAGTGGAAATAGGGAAGGTGTAAATATGAAACCTAGATAACGTATATTATCGATTGATAAGAGTCGAAATCCATTGACTAGATAGGTATTAACTATTGAAGACCGAACTCTGGTAAACGACATTGAACGATATTTTACTATACTGTGTGTTAAGCCAAGTACTTCACACCACCTGACGAATCTATCAAGATCACTTTGGAGAAGTGCACAATTTTCTATGGAGTTAACTTTTTTAATTAACTTAATGTCATCTGCAACACATAGCAGGTAACTATGCTGAAGCACAGATTTTTCACTATTGATAAAAAAGTTAAAGAGAAAAGTTGAGAGATGACCTCCTTGGGGTACACCTGAAGTTGCAATAAAAGGATCAGACCTTACACCATAAAGTTTTAATCACTGTGGCCTTTGTGCTAAATAAGACTTCAACCAAGTAAGAAGGTGGTCTCCAAAACCAGAAGATCGTAGTATTCTATGAAGAACTTTGTGATTAACAGAATCAAATGCCTTGGCAAAGTCTGTATATATTATATCAACTTGTGAACCTGTATTAAATACACTGAAAATATAATTACAGAAAGTGACGTTACATGTAATAGTCGATCTGGCTGGACGAAAGCCTATTCGTCAATGAGAATAGAATTATTTACCAAAGGCTAAATGCAACCCAAGACAAACGCCTCAAAGATCTGTTATGATAATTGATAGTGTTATTGATAACCTAGTACTGTTCGTATGTTGACGAAGAAGAATTTGGACGGAAGTAAACTCCACTAATTAAAAATTGTTGTTGCCCAATTTTCGCTTGCACGACTACATGATTAACATTATATATGTATGGTCTAATTATCCTAGATAAAAAATCTTTCCTTATGGCGATGAGGACACCTCCACCCCTTGAACAATTACTAGTAATATTATTTCTAGCACATCAATAAACATTATAGTATAGCAGACCCAGCTCTGAATCAGAGATTAAATCTACTAATCAAGTTTCGGTAAATATGATAAAGATATAGTTAATACAAGCGACATTATGGTTAAAACTAAATAATTTGGTCCGAAGACCACTGCAGTTTTGGTAAAAACCTGAGATTTCTTCAGTTGGCGTTGTAGAACTTAGGGATGGACACTTCGGCAGCCCTGCTGAGACATTCCGTTATTTGATTTAACAGTGACTACTTCGGGGAGACTATTCACGTATCTGATGGACAGATCGTTTTCATTATTTTTGGTTCTGCGATCAAGCTCCAAGTGTCATAACTTTGGCAAATCTCGTTGCAAAGGGGTTTTGTCCCAAACTATCCGAAGGGCAGAAGAAGAAATTTCCCCGTTAATTATTGCCTCGCCAAAATCCTGAAGAAATTTAACTGTAACTTCTTTGTTATGGAAAATGACATTCAATGGGCGTGCATTTCTATTCCGAATTTTACCTAGACGAATCAGTTCAAAATTAGAAGGAATGACCTGTCCAAGAGGTTCAAGAAGATTGATAAAATTAGTTTTATCACCTGAGACGCGTTGAGATGAAGAATAAGATGATTTCGTAACAATATATACGAGTATATTACCAAATCATCTCTCACGTTCGAAAGTCTCCTACATGACTTAAGCAATGACAGAAGAGGATTGCACAGCCAGTCCTGACAATTTGAGGGTTACCATTTTACTATTTAGATGATTCGCATTAAGCCGCAACTTATCATTTTCCATCCTGAGGTCGGCGACTATTGCAGATAACTGCTTGAAGTCATTTCTAAGCTCATCGAAATTAGTTGTTAAAGTAGTCGAGAGGACTTTGTTAGACTCTAAGATTTCATCACAAAAAGCGCTAAGAGCTGTCATAAAATCATTATTTGATGCTTAAAGACGGGTTTTAGGATATTAAGATGAAGTTGATAGATTTACTTTTGTGGAACGCATGGTTCGATAGAAGTTATTTTAACAGCAATAGATAATCAGTACGAACGTTGCCCCATGGAATAAAAAATACAAATGCAACTTATTGACACGAATGTTATTACAAAACAAATAGTACAAGTACAATTAATCAGTTTGAACACTTAGTGCACGATGTATGTATATACATACAGACATTTGATAATAATAGACAGCGAGAACGAATAATTTCCTTTATCACTTGAAACAAGGTGTATGCATAGTACCTACAGAAGCTTGATAAAACTGCACCACTATAAATTTAGATCAGCAGCGCGGCATGCACGAATAACACGGTTATTACGATTTATACGACTGTTATTAGATAGTTATACGAAAAACTGGCCGGCGAACGGTTATATAAATAAAAACATTGATAAGCAACAAACACCAACTACACACGTCGTTCTCGAATGAAAAACTTTACTGTATTGCATAGTACAGTCCTGTACAATACAGCAACAGACCCGATTTTTAATCTACGCCTAAGCGCAGTACAACTGAGTACCTAATATTAGCTAAGGATAGCTATTCAAGAGACCCGGAGGGATCAGGGCCCTACACGCTATGGAGAGGCCCCGGGTGCATATCAAAGCACCACAGCGTAGCCCATTCGCCCGTTACTTAATTCGCCTCCCACCTATCTATGGTAAAGCTGATATCTGGTATGTGACCACTGGCTTAATTAACAACTACCTATCGAAACTCATAAGCCCTTTCGAAGCCAACCACAAGAGACCGACCGCGGCCCGAAACCGCAGCTGACACCCGGGTCTCCGTTCGGCGCCGAGAATGGGTCGACGCCGGGACTTCAAAGACCACCCGAATTACTTTTTATAAATATCAAAATTTGACGTTTCCCGACCGCCAACGAAACAGATTATCAGTCAGCATCGGAGGCAATCGGATGTCTACCGACACGCGTTTGTAAACACAATCTCCTTCGCCAGAGGTAAGTGGGCCACCCGAGAACATCCCACACTACAACCCGACGATCGGAATGCGAGAAGATCCCCGAAACCACCACATGGAGAGGCGAGCTCGTGGTCCTAAACTTTTGCTGGATACAACCTTGGTGAGGAAATATCGACACTCTTCCGCCCAACGAGAATCTCTATATGTTGGCTTCGCGACGCGAAGGAGTCCACGCCGTTATTAATATCTAACGCCACGAAGAAGCCTATACTATCTAAAAGGACCGAGGGGTGGGAGTAAAGCAGTTCCCCCGGTCCTCAAAGGAAACCACCGCCAACCGACCAAGAAATTAATCCCAGCCGGTTCCCTTGGCTGTGGTTTCGCAAGATTCTTGTACAGTACAGTACAGTACTGTAGTTTGAACGCAAAATAAACAATGTTATTATCTCTGAAGTACACGAATCCTCCATTCAGTGTTCTTTTGCATACGTTGTTCTAAATATTTTTAATAGTCTCCCTAAGGAGTTATATAGTAAGTGAAATACAATAAGTGAATAATTCGTATACGGATTCTATTTATATAAGATTGAGGTTGGTACTTATGATCAGAACATAAAACGACAGAAAACGTAAATATAAGATTATCGTAGTAATAATAATGATAATAATGTAAGTGGTTAAATTTTTGGTAGTAAAAATCTTTTTATATTCAAACCCTCCACAAAATTCGTTTTTCAACACGAGCTCGTCGATATTTTGTCGTGATTTTTCATCGTTCCGTTCGTCTTATGACACTGATTTTTTTTTTTCTATAAAATTGCTGACCTTTTCAGAATTTCAGGTGGGTATTTATCTTTTGAATATTATAATATTATATCCGAGCGAGGCAAACGCAAGGAACGCACGTATTATAATTTACAGCATTACAGTAGGTATTCCCAGAGATTATTAAGTTTGAACAAGGTTACGGCGGCGGAGGAAAACGAATGGCCTTGTCGCAAGACACGCAAATATTATGTACCCCGACTATAATGATAAACACGTGTAACTATACGGTAATTACCTCACATCCTACAGTTATAATATTCATTATTTTATTCCCCTCGGTGGCATTATTATATGTCCGTGTCGTAAAACATATTTAAGAAAACCCGGGTATATATACTTACTTTGCAGTATATAAGACATAGGAACACAATTTATTATAATATTCATGTAATAATACCCACTAACTTAATATATTGTTAGAGAATCATCGTGTTAATTTTTTAGAGGTTCAAATGGTCACTGATGATAATCTAGAGTAATTAAATTTATATCTGAATGCCATAAATCATTTCTCATAAAAAAAAAAAAAAACGATTCGGGGTAAAATTAGATGTATTTTTTCCTCTTTTACCGTAGGAAAACTAAGGGAAAACATAGATACATTCAAATTATTTCATTCGAAATAAAGTCATTAATCTACAGATTTATATTCACGGGAGTAAGGTATAGGTAATAGTAAGGTCTAAACAACTTTTTGGCAATACCAAATAAACGATAAGTATAATGTAAGAATATTACACTATTATCGTTTTGTTAATAAATACATTTTTAAGTACATTTTAGATTCCGAGCATAGCGAGGTGCTATTGGTTTTACTAAAGTGTTTATTTATTTTTCTTCTTCTTCTTCTAGTCTCTGGACAGATTTTTTCTTGTAAACTTGCTCTGATTTTTACGTATATCAACTTTTCTGAAAACTCAAGTTGTCTTAATTGTACTTTAGAGAGGTAAATTTTGATTTTTGACGACATTTTTCAAATAAAAGCACTTAAGTGGGAAAAAAGATGGGAAAACGTACAATTTCACGATTTCATTATTTCATAAAAACACTGACGACGTTATTTACCAGAAAAAATAAACGTAATCGAAAAATATCAAAATATTTTTTTTTATTTACTTTCTTACGGTATCATTACCAAAAATTTTAAACCACTATTGAGATTTTAAGAAATTGTAATTTTTAGGAAGCTTTTTGCTCTAATTCGGTTATAAATAGACATAGATACTTAAAACTTGGTAATAATACTTTAATTGGACTTAGATGATGTAAAATTTACAAAATCATAGGACGATCTTTTTTTTTTTTTTAAAAGCGTTTTGAAATCAAATTAAAACGAGAATCGCAAAAAAAATATACGGCACTTTAAATGATGTATTACCGAACTGCGCTCGGAATCATCTTTTTTAAGCAATGGTTTATCGTTACTTACAGATATAGATGAAATAACCTTATGTATCCTTGTATTGTACCTTCCCAACTTCTCACTTACATCAGTGGCTGCTGCCATCCCCAGTATAAACTCTTTTTATTTATTTTTTAATATATAGGATGTAACGGAATCATTTAACAAATCTAATAACTTTGTAATAACGTAAATAACATATTATAATGTAATAAATCTTTTTTTTTTTTTTTGTAATAATTATTATAGCTTTGCGCTGTAATTTTAGATCTAGAGCTTAGCGAGGGTATGATAATATTGGTTTTACTGCAATGTGTGTTTTTTTCTGTTTATAAAAAACTTTTCTACCTTGCTCTGATGTATCAAGATTAAAACTTTTCCTGGAAGAAAATTGTACCTAGTTGGTCGAGTAAAGAGGTCATTTTTTAAATTTTTAAATAGGTTTTAAGTTTGAGTGTAAGTAAAACGTGGTAAATATTTATAGCGTATAGTGACATTACCAATATTATTGTTTTAATTTTTTCAAACTGTATTTTATACCAAAATATTGCTTCTATAGAAAAACTGAAAGAAACCATTTTTGTTGAATTTCGGTCAGTTTTTTATTTTCATGGTAGTTTTATTAATAATTGAGAAAACTGGAAAAATACTAAAAATAAAATATGAACCTATTTACAACGTACGATTTCATTGTATTGAATTTGTATGGTTTATGTTTTTACCAGAATAGAAAAACAGAATAAAACATTTATTGTTGAATTTTTAATCTTGTTGGTGAACGAGAAAGTCGTCTTCTGATTTTTCTCATTGTTTTTTTTTATATAAGCAAAGAAAAAAATATAATTTTTTTTTGTTTAATTAGAAATTTAATATCAAATTTTGAGAAAAATCGTAAATATAAGGACTTTTCAAAATATATATAACTGAACTTCACACTGAAATGTTTTTTGTACAAATGTATAATATTCCATAGAATCAAATTAACTGTTTCAAAATGTAAGCATGCAAAAAATTTGATATTTTATAAAAATTTAAAACTTATTAAAAAATAATTTCCTCAAACTTAGTAAAAGTTTTTAACACCGAAATTTTACATTTTTTTTTGAATACCTTAACATTAAAATTTAACAAAAAACAATTTTTGTTTGATAAAAACAGTCGTAGACATATATACCTAAATAATCGCAGTAAATTTAAACGACGACAAACGAGTTCATATAAATATTTAAAAAAACCTGTTTAAAATTATAGGCCATAAAACGTACCTATAGGTTGAATGCGAATTTTGCAAAGAAAATAGAAAGTCTACGGCCTATAATTTTTGGCGAGCTTTACCGGTTTTACATTTCAGGGTATAATACAAAATGATATGAGTATAAAGATAAGTATACAAAACCAAAAAAAAAAAAACGAAAATTGTTCGAAGTTTTCGTTTATATACGTTTTTGTAGATATTTTCCGATTTTCCGATCAAAGAGAAACGAAAACTTCCGACCTAGTAAATTATCCGTACCTGAACAATATTACTTTGGGGTACTGAACTCAAAAAAAAAAACTAAATCTACTCGTATACAACCATAAGTACTTGTTTATCGAATTATTGGCACGGTAACCTTTAAAAAAAACCTTGCTAACTTGTGTGTGTGTGTATGTTATGCAAAGTGATAATTTATTTTATTCGATTTTATCAAAATATGTATATTAGCAATGCATCACAACAAAACGTAGATAACGACGTTTTGTTAAAGTCGTTCGTATATTTCCCCCCTCCTTCCCCATAATAATGCGTGTGATTTTGCAACAAACTGTTTAAAATTTATACACGTAGGCGCACACTTAATGATTTATCAATACTACACACTGTGAACGGAATACAAATAGAACATAAAACGAAAACTACATACTTCCACAGAGGTGTTTGTACACAGTAATTAGATCATAACAATAGCGTTTTTACTCTATAAAAAAAAAAAAAACCACGGAGAGTTTAACCAACAAAGAGTTCGGTTACGTCATAGAATTCTATTGAATTGTGATAAACACATACTTGACGGACTTTGTGATGTTTCGTTTACGTATTATTTTTCGTCATGAGCGAGTTCGTTGTATCTTAATTAATAATTTATCGGTAAACAAAAACTTTTCATTCGGTACATGAATATTCGATCACGGTTTCAAAAATAGAAACCACAAAGCACAAAAACAACCATATTATTTTTATTATTACTATATTATTATTACTCGAGTTAAAAATGTATCATTTTACAGTAAGCTGATACGTGGTATAGATATTTTGGACAGGGCTATTAAAAATATTCCCATTATTTTCTACTGTAAATCATTTGCACTTTTGAAGTCTACCAGAACACTCGAGACGCCCAGACCATTTAATAATTCTAGACGGATAGTTCCCAAATGAAGCGATAGTGGTATTCCAAAAAGAACACTCCCCACGAAACTAATAACACCTTAAAAAGAAAAAAACGTTTTTGCGTATGGTTAAGTACGATGAACGTTTTTAGAGAACGCAACTTATCGAGGGAGTGACATATTATTTTATTACAACATTATTTTAATTAAATATTAATTAGTAATGAAAAGTCATGGTTATTTTGAATTTTGTAAAAAATGCCATTTTTAATCTCGAATATCTACAAACTGTCTCATTAAAGTATAAATTGAAAATCAATATGCCATCTTGTGCTGATTAATGTCGTTGTCTTTAATTTTTATAATGAGCCAAAACTATAATATCATTCGTGATAATGAAAATTGGTTCGAACCTCTTAAAAAGTACATTTGAATATAACTGATCAATTTTCATACTTGCCGAAATTTCAACAAAGTCGCTTATATGAAATCCCTTAACAATATCAGAAGTTTGACCTTAAACTTTTTGACTCTGAGCGGAGTACAGAATGTATTGATTTTACTATATTGTTTATTTTTTTATTTTTTTCTTGTGGACAAATTTTCTACCAGAAATTCAGCACTGATTTTTAAGTGAAGCACTTTTTCTGAAAGACTGGAGTGGTACTTTAAGGAAATATTTTTTTGATTTTCCAAGTAATTTTTGTACAAATTACGAAAATAATGATTTTATTACTTTCGATTTCAGTTTTTATTGTAATTCAGTTAAAAAGATTCGTAAGAACTGGAAATATGGAAAAAAAACTCAAATTTACCTTGTCTAGACCTAGTAAAATGTAAAAAATATTTGAGCTATTTTTGAACTAGTTTGACATTTTAATTTTGCGGGTTTTTTACGTAATTTGTATTCTGTATAGGTTCCTAGGTACACACTGTAGATAAAATTGTTAGATCAAACAGAAATACTTGAGAATTTACCAGAATGTTCATTATAAGTTTAATTTAGTGGCAAACAAGAAAAAGTTAAATTAAATGTAGATTTTTTTATTTATAAAAAATTTTTTGACGAAAATTGTAAATATTTTACAATATTCCAAAACATATATAACTGAACTCAGCTCAGAATCATTTTTCGTTACAAAGATTAATCGTTGGGTACTGATATACATTAAATTCCTTTTTATATCCTACCTTCCCAACTTCTCACCTACAACAATGACCCACCCGTTATGTAAATTATTTCTGTATTTTTTTAGTTAAAAAGTTGATTAGGATATTCTTAAGGGTCGAGTGAAAGACATTCAAAATTGAATAATTCAAGTCATATTATCATAATAAATCTTAAAATCATTTACTTCAAAATAAAATAAATATATGCCCACCACTTTTACATGTACATAGTTTCCATTTTTTAACTGAAACCAAAATACTTGTCCAGGTGGACAAAAACTTACAATACTATAATCTCTGAAACCCCTATTTAAAAGACGATAACCGAAAACCTTGTAAATGCTTGTATTTGTCTACTAAGAACACCCTTGTGCGTTCAAAAACGAACGTTAACGACATATTAACAATAATAATTTATAAGTTCCCTTATATATATATACGTATATACTTAAGCCGTATACACTATGGACCAACGGCATCCAGTTTATGCGAGGAACCGCAAAACCTCTTCTAATACCCGAACAATACAACCATTTCGATCCATCTATCTCTGTCTATACATAAGTATTATAGTATCATTAGTATCCTCGTCCATAAACTACCGCTTTCGCGTTAAGATCCGAAAGTCCATGTTCTAAAAACGTTATTTTATTTTATAAAGTTATTATAAAATTCATAACAAATTCCAATCACTTTACTAAATCTACACAAGTGAAGCAGAACCATATTCAATGATTTTTATTATTTTTATAATATTAACCAACATATTTTGCTGTTTCGCATTTTAAAATAATATCAAAAATTAAAGCAGGCCATTCTTTTCCCGCTCACATAATTCCGCGGTTTTATTATTCAGCCATCATTAGTGAGCCTGAGGAAATTATGGCTATAGAAAAGGATGTATTATATAATAATCACGGATAAATTGTAGAACCCCCCCCAAAATAAAAACGAATAATTTTTAATCAATAAATCAAGTTTTCCTCTATTTATTTGGCTGATATTTATTATACATCAAGAAAAATACCAAACACATACTGATATACACAACAACTATATTTTAAACCAATGTGTATAAGCGTATGCCCCAACCGTTACTACTGTTCATCATGTCGATTAATTATTGTATAATCGAGTCGGGGTTCAAGTACACGGATAATAAAAATCTTTTTCATTTGGTTTTTTATTTCATTTTATAAAACTACTAACTGTAGTTGTTATTATTATTAATTAGTTAAGTAAATGCGAGCGGGGATGAGATTTTTTCGTGTTTTCTGTATGTGTGTGTGTGTTTCTCGAGCCCTGCGAGTTCGGACGAGTTAATGGGGCACGTTTTAATTAGACCTCAGTCATTTGTCCGTAAACTTTTCGCAGTACACCAAACTAGGTTTAATTTTAATTACTCGCGTTGGCCGTAGTTGTATATAACGATATAATATACAAACGAAGTGTAAGTATATATAAGTCCCGTCGAGGAGTTCGTCTCTCTAAATGGTGTGTGTGCTAACAATAAACATTTTAACGGTGGTGAGAGCATTTCACTAAGGAACGGGGGAGAGGTGAGAAGGTGAAGTGTAGTGAGGGTAAACTCGTCCCTGTTTATGGGAATCAACTGCGTAGCGGTATTAGACACGCTCGAATCCCCAGAACGCCGCCGCTGACGGTTTTCCCCTTAAAACGCCGTGTTACTTCATTCAGAGAAGTCCATTGTAACATTATAATATACCACACTAACATTCATCTCGTGGTGAGTGTACGGCAAATCTTTCTATGTATACGGTGACCAAAAAACAAAAATATACATATATTTTTTTTTATATACATTTATCGATTATTATAGACAATTTTACACATTGTAATAAACAATACTACTATAGTATTATAGTTGCGGGAAGTATCTCTAAAACTATTATATTTTATATAACATCAGGCGAAGTTTTTGTATACAATTACCTAAAAGCAGTTAGCTAACGAATTCGAAAGTCTAACAGGGAAAAAGTTACAAGCTCCTAAATAGTAGGTCGAAATAGGAAATTAAAACAAAGAAGAGCCAGGGATACGTATCACCGATGAACGGTAACGATAATATAGTCCTTCCAAAAACTTCTGTCAACCATTGCGGCAACTAGTGAGGAAGGGTGCTAGGAGGTCATTAACACCCCCAAGTTTAAAATAAACACACCTAAAAATACACAATACAGTTTTTTTTAATGTTAACTAAATATTCGATCCATGTATTTCAGAATTAATAAGCAGAATGAAAAACAGAATTTCTACAAACAACGCATATGAATATAAAAAATAAAGTTAAAATAGTTAGGATACATTTTTATGCGAAAAGTTTTGTATGCAATTTATAGTTTATCATTATATATGTCGTGTAAAGAGGATTGTGGGGGTCATTGTCCCCATATGTATGTGATATGTCTATAATTTTAGTTTTCTTAAAGTTGGTGGTCTAGTTGCGCATATGCTGTCAATTGAAACTTTTAACTATGACATCTGTTTAATAATGAATATTTCGAGACCGGGCAGTTGACAAAGATTACGATTTTATAAAATTGTATTATATTTTTCCATTCGATAGATTTAGGAGTGACTAAAATCACGGATATTCGTGGATTTGGGTACGAAAATAATATCGTATGCGATTTTTGCGTTTCTTGCCCGAATGTGATCAACACGCGTTAATTGAAAATATTTCCGATTCTCCGACGTTTTCGTTTCGTACAATATTCCACTGCACATGCACGAGCGTAAATCGTCGTAAAAAAATAATATAAATAATTTTCTCTTAGCCGAGCACCACAAATTATTACGGGCTTATAAAAACTTTCTAATAAACGTATAAAAAAATAATTTTGTAACAACATACGCATGAATATCCCTATAAACGTATTTTACATTAATTTTTTCAAAATTTCCCGAATTATAGATTTGATAACTACATTGAATTGTTGTTATAATTATATTGTTCGTGATTCATCTTTTGTACGGGCACCATCACACGATAACAATCAATACTCCTGAAAACATAATGTTATTATTCTCTAGACTTACAAAACTTTTTTAATATTTAAGTTTTTTCGGGAAAGGGAGGGGTTGTTACCTATGTCTATATAACATAACAATATTCTATTAAACGGGAGTTTTCCTTTCAAGTGAATTCATTGCTAAAAAGCTTTGTACAACGATATTTTAATCCAACATAATATTATTATGTAAGTACACGCGTAGGTATCGTACTTAACATTTTTTTTTTTTTTTTAGATAAAAAATATTACGAAAGAAAAGCGGAGACAAAAAAGTTGAAAACAAATCGGATAAAAAGAGATTAATGTTATCTTTAATTTATTGTTTTCTGGCATCGGCTATAGACGTTTTCAAATTTTTTACGAAATGATTACTTTTAAACTGGAGCGGCAGTTTTGATTAACGGAATTAATTAAATTTCTTCTAGAATTTTGTATAAAACGGCGAAAATTCATTATTTTGACAATCTAATAGTTTTATTGTATAGTCTTGTCGATGCGATGAGAGTTACGATATGGTTGGTGTTGCAAATATCGCGATAGTGACTGCCACAGAGACACCGTATCCAGAAACACGGCTCTCCGTGAAAAAAATCTTGCCTTTATCACAGTTGCGTATTTCGCAACAATCGCGATAGGCGCTAGGTAACTAACGCATCGTTAGGGCCGGGCTTAAAACGCAGGATAATATTCAAAACGTTTTACCCGTATTTATCTCTTATCGGTGTGATTATGTGGTTAGGTGTTATCATTTCCGCGGTCGTGCGTTGGATAAATTCCTTGGGTTTAATAATAATATTATGTTGTCGCGGTTTAAACGATCGATGACATTATTTTCGAGGGCGTAAACACAAACCAAAGCCCCCGCGACAATAATTCCACCATGTGTATAGTGTATACATGCATACGGGATACGGGATTACAATAAAACGAATATACCGGGTATCGAGTAAAAACATAGATTCCGCTGCCCTCTCCCCTCCTCCCCCATCCGGTCATCCGGTAGTATAACAAGCGAATTCGTGGTAAAAAGTTTGAATTTTTATTGTTTGTGCTTCGTACGATCGATAAAATGTGCACCGATAGTTATTCTTATTTTAATTCCTCCACCGCGAACACAACAAAATATCGTAAAATGGTCATAAACTTGAAGATCCGTCACGCTCTCTGTGCTTATAATTGTATACGTTTTTTCGGAACATTTTCGTGTTTTTAATTATCGTTTATAATCGCATGTTATACACAATAAACCACGTATTTTGCAAAAGCTGTACCTTCATTTTTTTTTTTTTTTTTTTTTGAAAACTCGTGTTTAGAAAATGTTTTTTAGTACGTCAACATTATTATTGTTATTAGGTAAATTTGTTTACGATTTTATTTTTGAATCGCACACGTGTACGATAAAATCTACGCTTAAAATTAATTTCGACCTCGTTGCGGCTGTGTGGCTGCTGTAGGTACGCGCAACACACGACTGTATTATTATTATAAAACGAATTGTAATTTTCTTGTACCGACAGCATTTTTCGCCAAAAAAAAAAATATAACGCGTTTGATAGCGTTTTCAGACCGGGCGAATAACGATCGTTAACGCATACACACAGTGTAGTTACACGATATCCGCCTCGGGGAAAACTCGTAAAATTACAATACCCTGTAAATTTTCTACACGAAAATATATTATATTCGCGAAACCTGCGTCTCCTCCGCCATAACAAGTTTCAAACGGCCGAAAATAATACAACGACTGTGCAGTGTAAAAAAACAAAACAAAAAAAAAAAAAAATAAAACACCGAATTTCCTTTCAAAGCCAAACCGTATATTCGTCGTAAATTATTGCTACCTACGATACGCGTAATGCGCGGAAATTTGTACCGTAACTCGCGCAAAAAGTAAAGAAAATACGTATGTATATATATATAGTCGAATGTTTCGTTTGGAAACAGCAGCGAGAGCGTTTTTGGTACCTACCCACGAAAACAACATCCGAAGAGTTTGATTATTTTAACGCAATAAAAACCAAATTAAAAACAACAAACGTCAAAGCAAAGAAGCCGAATACGAATTTCGACAAATTAAAAAAACTTCCCGACAAATCGGCGGATTATGAAATAATACCGGTAAATCGGGAAAAAATATATCATCGCCAAAAAAAAAAAAACCTCGCTGTTGCAGTTGTATACACGGTTTTATTACGAAATTAAATTATCGATTCGTTTTACTTTATTCCGAACGCAATTAGGTAAAAGTACTCGAAATATCCGAGAATGCGCGATTTTATTTAATAAAAAGTGCAAAAAAAAAAACAAAAACAAACAAATTCAATATTAGTTCATTCAACAAACTGTTTTAAAAAAAAACTTTTTTTTTTAACAAAAAATAATTTTCCGAATATCTATATTTTATTTTATTTACAAAGCTATTTAGTTTAATAATACGTTTCAAAGGTACATTATTAGATAATAATTTGATCTAATTCTAATGTAATATTTTATGAATATGTTGGAGCTGCGGCCTCAAACATATTATTACAAATAAACAAATAGAAAATGTCAAAAAACTTTTGACGTCGAAAGATGCCCGGTAATACATGTGCGTGAAGTTGGCAAGTTCTGCACGTCCATAGACAAGATGTAGATGACTTTCCACTGATAGAATATAATAAACTAATAATGATTATTTGATCATTTATTTAAAACTTAGGATCAAATAAGTATAAAAATAAATACACAACTGGTATCGTATTGCGGTACGTTGGGGCATTGCAGATAATTCTTGAGAACATTAAATACAGACAATAAAGTACTTACATAATGTATAATAAAGTACAATATATTACATTTTGCTCATTGCACTTTACCAAACTTCAGTATTTCGCTGCTCGCGTGACATTAGTGAGTACTCTTATTGTTATTGAAAGTGAATAATTTTGCAGTATTAGTTATTTTAAATGCGCGTATAATAATAATTCATTTTTAAAATAAGTCATGAACGTACCTATTGCAATTGATGTCATGTCCGATGTTATTATATTATTGTCGACTTATCGGCTCATTTCGATTATTGTCCTGAACATTTTCATCACTGCGTCCAACTTCCGTTAATGTACTTAATATACCACGTTAATATAGTCAACTACCCATAGTTTATGGATAGTTATATACATAAACCCGCGTGGTTTCGTTTGAAGGTGAAGATCCTTTGAATAGTTTTTGTATGATGCGCGTTTATCATAAAATATAGAACTCGTACAAGAATAGTTACATTCAGGATATTGTTAATATTTTTGGAATAAAACTAAAACATTATTTAATAGCTATTAGTAATACATGCGTCATACTAGTTATTATATTTATACGAGTATGTTGAAATAACATTAAATCTTTATTGAGCATACTTTTTGAGGGGGTTTTTTTTGTCCCTCCCCCCCTCATATTGAATTCACCCAATATCAGCGTTCCCGTGATTAAAAAATACCTGATGAATAACAATCGTGATAAAAAATATATTTATATCGAATATATTTTATACATGGTGTAGTCCGCGATTTTAAGTAAGATGTATCGACTTCAAGGATGGGCATCATGCCCATCGTGATAAACGTGATTACATTTTTAAAAGAAATTCCGAAAAAAATGATTAGATCGATCAAAGATAAACTGATAAAATTGCTTACAGTGCAAAAAATGTTTTGTTTTACTTTTTGTTCTCCTGCAGTGGTCTGCAAAAAATATCAAAAGAAAATATTAGTGCATCGAACAATGATATTTCAGTCGGTATACCTGCAATTATTATAGCAATAAAAACTCGATTTTGTGAAAATTTGCGCAGCTACAACAATTTTCGTTTTTCACATTTGCGATGGCGGAAACAAAATATCCCGGTGGAGAGCAGGATTACGTATGCGACGTGCGGGGAAACTCGATTCGAATTCAAAATATCACTCGGCCACTTTAACCCGAAATTGTACCCTTTTTTTCCCATTTTTTTTTTCTTTCCGTACGTTTTTATTGTAAAGTGACGTGACTGTGTGAACCAACACGAGCACGTTCGCCACAATCCTCAACGGCCAAAACCACCACTACCACCACCACTACCACTACAACCACGACCACGACCACCACTACCACCGACACCGACAGTTTAAAAACCACATATGTAGCCTCAGAAAAAAGGAAACAAACAAAATACTCGTAGAGCATAAAAAAATAAAATGTATGCATAGCGACATATTATACAAAGTTGGCATATGTATCCGGCACAAAATACCGTTGTTTTATGTCTTATTAACTGCAATGAATAAATCTTGTTTCAATAAATCATTAATTTTAAATAATATACTTTCGAACTATTCGAATTTAAAAAATGTTAATTTTATACAGCAAAGTTTGTCTTTAATAAGTTAAAAAGTTTAAAAAGTTATTTCAACCTTTTATGTTAAATTAAAAATATTAAATTTACAATCCACATAAAATTATTATTATTATTTTTTTTACCCAACATCATGTATGGAAATCCAATAATTGAAATATAAATTTAACATTCCCGTGAAATAGACTACTCCCACGTATTTAAACGTTGTGTCATTATCGTAGAAATCACAGACTTGAGGTTCATGCATTTTTTTCCATTATGACAGTAACAATTGTACAGAAAACAAAAGAAAAAGGTCGAGATTGCTGATAGACGTATCGCTCTTTTCCTAAGAAATTTTAAAGGGATCACATGAAGAATGATTTGATTTATATACATATGCAACGATAAATTATTGCTAACCAAAAACGATTCTGAGCTGAAAAATATTTGTCGTATTTCTATTGTTTTCCCTTGTTGCCAAAAAAAACTTAGAAACAAACAACATTTACCTATACCACAATTATTGTTAGCTGTCCCCATTTTTTTAAGAAAAATACAAGGAAAATCAAAAACTGACTTATGCAGACTTTTTTTTTTTTTATATATATACAAATTACTGTCGTTTTACGCACATGCAGTTAGGCGGTGCGCACGTTTACCGATGCTGTTGTCACGAGTCAAAACCCTACAGCCGTCTATTTAACCACTAAAACCGTTTCCTGTGTACTTCGCGTATCAATCCGGTCGATCTGCACATTCTCGGGCAACGTTTGCAGAACATCAATGACACATGCGCCATAGATCCGTGTTCTCGGATCTACGAGACCCTTTTGCTCGCCGACACGGACGTATGGTTTTACCACAGCCGTCCGGAATTTGACAACGGACGGCACCGTGTGGCTACTCGATTCGGAAACTAAGCATCCGTACGATAGATTCGACGTTATATTTATATTGTAGGTTAGAAAAAAAAATTGCTTTTACCGCTCGTAAGTAAACGATAAATCATTTCTAAACGAAAACCGCGCGAAATTCGTTTATACATGATTTGAAGTGTCATTATATATACGAATTTGGTTAAAAACTTGATCTTAAACATTATTAAAAAAAAAAAAAAATACTATATTACTTTTGACGATCCTTATATTAAATACCCTAACATTTTTGGAATAACCGAATCTACAATTAAAAAAAAAAAATTTGAAATATTCGACAATTTCAAACTGCTATATATATATAGCTCAAAAATTGCCAGAATAATTTAAAAATATTATTGCATCTAGAAAGTACTAACATAAGTATTCTATGAAAATAGACAAATCACGTCAGAAACTATGCAATACCTACGTATAGTATATATGCAACATTAATTTTTGTCAAAACAATTTTTTTTCCCCAATTTTAAAACCCATTTTCAAAGAAATCTTGCCGGAGTCACCCGATGTAAAATTTCAAATGCACGCAAAAACACGTTTTCCTATAGTATTACGTGCGTGAGACTAAACATTTTATTTATTTATTTTTTTAAAATCTAAACTTTTAATGAAATCCGGTCGCATCTGTTCGAGGACCTCGCGGTGAAACATAATATATTAATTTTGTCTGTACCGGCTCGATCAAACTTTGAACTATTGAACTTAAACATTTACTTTGAATACTTTGGCATACAAATTATAATTCAAATATGCACGATATGTTATCGTATCCAAAATTGTACGATTCCCGTACGTCCGAATTATAATACGGGTTTAAACAAAGTAAAGAGTGCCGCGTGGCCATGAGGAATAAAAATAAATCGCGAAAATTATAGAAACGCAGCCGCCAGGCCGCGGTGGACCGTGAGATATATAAAAATCGATAGTTTTTTTTCCTCTCCTTCGCTAAATACTACGGTAACGGTGGTGGTGTCGGTCTTTCTTCCGGGAAGACGTATTTCACGATTGAGTTGCCGCAGCGCTCGAAAATCGACAAAAACCGACTTCTCGAATCGGACGTAACAATTTTCGTTATTAATGATGATAATATAACACTTTTAAGTTGGGCGGAAAAGAAAAAAAAAACGACAAAGTTCGGCATCGATTAGAGTCTCTTGGTGTTGTAGGTACTGCACCAGCGTAACGATTCCAGTCCACCGCCAACGCGGTATTCCAATTTAATTTTATAGGTAGGTACGTCAAATAATTTTTATTATTACAGTACATTAAATATGATTATTTTTTTATTTTTTTTTTACGTCTGTCTGAGCGATAAAACAATTTTTATCTACCGAGATAATCGTCACGAGACGTCGTATTTGATATGTAAATCGTTTCTGAATCAGAATATTACCTAACCTCGAATATTATTTGAATATTGAGCTATAATATCCAATAATAACAACGATTTTAATTATATAAGACGAATTTGATTAGAATTTGGAATTTATTGTTGACGTTATAAATGACACGTTGGATTTTAAATTCTGAGAGTAGCGAGGAATTTTTTTGTTTTGCTATGATATATTGTTATTGTATCAGCATATTTTAAGACATAATATAAATCGAACAGAAAATATAGATGTATCATTACACTGATAAAGAAGAAGTGTATATTTCTAGTAGAATAATATTCCCATCATCGACTATAATGGTGATTTTTGGTACCAAATTTTTCGTAATTGGTGTGTTGAGGTTATTTTTCGACTTTTTTTGTTTTTTTAACTAGCTGAAGTAATCTATTAATATAATATACGAACTTTGAGTTTCTCTATACTGCGTATTCATAGACTAATCTCAGTCGGGTTCGTCGTTAACGAAAAAACCTTTAATTGCGATTATTTTATCTCTTCCTCTCCTGTAATCAAACACAAAATAATTATCAAATGTAAATATCGTTTAAGTGACCCCGTTGCGTTTCATCGCCAGTCATAAACATTTTACACCAGTGCAAGGCTTGTTTTACAATTTCCAGACGATATCACTTGCATCTCTTCATGCCGAGTAAAATTTTACAGCAGTCACACAAAAATATCAAATTAAGAATGCGTTACATGACTGATTTTAAAACAGATTATCATTTTAATTAAATGTTTTGTAAAAAAATAATATAAAACAAACAGAAAAATAAAATTATAGATATCTTCCTATATTTTTTTAAAAACCCTGGAAGTATACAATATAAATGTATATATTTTAATACATTTATACTACAAAACATGCGTAGAAAAAATTAATTAGTTTTAATAGATGAAAATATCTTTCTGTTCAAATTTAATAATGAAAAAATTACTTTATTATAACATGTACACCAACTGCATAAATAATCGAGTACATTGCGAGTGGTTTATGTATCGCCACTATGCTCCTCGTACTGCAGGATACTACAAGTTCATAGATATGCAGGATCAAATTATAATTGGTAAGTTAGGAGTATAGGACATACCTAGTTATAGAGTTTAGTTTCATATCTGTACACAACAATAAATTGTTATTAACGAAAAATGATTCCGAGCGAAGTTTAGGTAATCATGTTGGAACCAGCCAAATATTAAATTATACTTTTTAGTACAGCAGCTGACGTGAACGTACGTGCGTACTTTTATGCGTACACATAAATTGAATTTAAATTTCTTAACAATTTCCTACGGTGACGTTCTAACGAGAAAATATTAATACAAAAATCATTCGTCACATTGGCTCCTTGTCGGTGTAAACAATAAATACGAACATTTTCCGTCTAGACATAAAAGTAAACATTATAATTTTAGATAACTATGTCAACACTGTTAACTATTGTCATACGTCAATATGATATTCAAACTATACATAATTCCCAATTCCCGAACAAAACGCGTATAGTGCGCAGCTACGCGTGCAGATTTAATCAAATCACATTATAAATCTACACAACAGTCAAAACGAATAACGTTCCAATAGGTATTAAAATAAGTCCGCAAGTTTAAATCGTTATAAATACAGTTGTTTGAAACATCATTCACACGATTTTTAAGTTGAATTTATTAATATCCACGTCAATACTACGACGGTACGAGTAAATCAATAATACACCTACGCTCAATGCGCTTAGCCGTGTATGTACACAATATTTTATTACAATAAATATTGTGTGTAACGAAACGTTATTAAAATCACCGTGTAAAATATTTCGTCGATTAAACACATTATTAATATATGCAAAGGTACATACACACTGGATGGATATCATAGAATTATGACAAATGCAATTTTGTTCCATTCAACGTTCTAAAGGTTTTTTTCTAGATTCTGATAGCGAAGAATTACCTATTATAATTTGACCAAGGTATTGCTTTTTTCAAATTCACCAACACCTATTCATTTTCTTTTGTTGATGTGTAAAAATTGTCAGATTTGATGACATATACCCGAAAAGATGCGATTTTTCGACGATAAACTATATTTGAATCCGGTACATTTTTATGTGCTTAAAAATTGTTCTAATAAATAAGAAAAACTGTTCAGGACCAATAGTTTTCTGAGGTGCTAGGAGATAAAAATGTTAAGCCCCGTTTACATTGGTAGAGTATTTGGGAGGATACACTAGCCA